TGGCATCCATAACAGATGGTCACAGTATCATCCTGAATAAGGATACCTATGTTGTCAAAATAAATTGCTATGTAGACTTTACAAGGAAATTAAACAATGACTCTTAGGTTTGAATAGATACTGCAGCTGGAGCATTAACATCAACAGTAGAATCACTGTTGAAATCATTTCAGTAGGTCGGAATGAGCCCTTAAGAGTCCCACCGTGCAGCTCGTCTCATCCTATGCTGGCAAGGGGCAGAGCACACTCCTGCTGCACTGACATACTCCTGAGATTTTTTGTCCCAAACGAAGGCAGGTAAAATAGGATCCATGTTGAAGCCCCCAATCTCCGCCAGTATCTCAGCTTTGCTGGGGGTCTGGGGTTTTGAGCCACAGTGCTTCTCGCCATTGCTTCAGCACACTTAGGCAGAGGATGTCGCTCTCTCTCCACCTCTGTACCCTTTCCACAATGAAACTTCCAGGTCTACGGTAGGGATACAGAATCAGTGGACAAGGTGAGTGGTCGTTCTGTTCCTGTGGAGCAGACTGTCGCTCTCTGTGTGTCAACTTCCACCAGTAGTTGCTGAAAATTTTATCTAGCTTGGACAGTATGTTGGGTTTCTTGCTGCTGTGATGGACGGAGCATGAGGAATCTGCCATATTACTTCGGCCCATGCACCTGCAGTCTGACTGCTCACCAGCAACATTTAGGCCTGCCAAGCAGGAGAGGATCCTAGAGGCAATGGGAAGGAAAACGGGGCTTAAGACAATTAGTGCTAGAGCTCGAGTTGTCCCGAGTTGGGGGATCATCCACCTCCCTCGCTCGGGGCACATCGAAGGTCTCACCACATATGTCTGCAAAACGACCAAAATCGCCATTGTCCGACACTCTACACTGGACCAACTCGGTTAAAGGTAATGTAGGTTGCATTATGGCTCATGCTGACAGAGATAACAGTCGATTAAGTCTCATATATTGGGGTACAGGCATGGAGCTCTCGTGAAACACGTCTGTCCAGCAGGGAGGTCAGGCCCCGCCCCACCTGTATTATCATTTTCAATACAGACTTTGCAGTCCTGTGCTGAAGTACAAATGTACATTTGCATGCTTGATTAAATTGTATTTGGGAAATGAGGAACCAGAGATAAGACAAAAAGCAAGACTGTAATAAGGGGCTCTTTGCACTCATTTAACCTGGAGACACAAAGACGCAGCAACATATTGTCTATGCTTTTAGAAGGAACCTGTGTGATACCAAGAAAGGTGCAGATGGTGTGCTCTCTAAGGGTTTAAAATTAAACTAGTGTGTGATACTTTTCTGCTGTGGAAATATTGTATATGTATGCTGATACAAGAGCAAATTGTGAGACAGAGATTTTGGTATCTTTGCACCATAGCCACTGTACTGAGCTGCTATTTAAATAGTTACTCCAAGTACCATGATTGCTCCAGTGATTTGAAGTGATCATGGTGTCTAGAGTCTATATGTTCAGCTTTTTACTTTGAAACACTACATATACAGAGATTAACCCCTTTGATGTCGGAGGTGTAACTCTACCACCACCAGACACAAATGCAAGGAGCCAAATGGACATTACCAGCCCTGCACATTTGATAGACTGGAGATAGATGGGAGATGTCTACTTAGTCCAGATGTAGGCCTTGATTTATTATTTTTGAACAAGCTTTTAAAATGATTTAATATTTTTGGATACAATTTTCAAATGATTTAGTATTTAAAAAAATATTTTAATATTGTTTTACATATTGATGTTTTTTTTAATATATATATATGATATATTTTTGGATATCTAAAAAAATGATTTTAAAATGTTTATCCAAAATACTTAATACTAAATGCTCATCTAAAAATATTAAATTGTGGCCTTAGTAAGAGTATTGAGAAAATAAAATGTTGTAGACAGGGTTATTCACAAAGGTGGGAATTGGACTTTCAAATTTGGCTTTTAAATTCTTTTTGATTTGTCAGTTATTCTACCTTAGGGAATAACTCTGCTAGTCTCATAATCAATAACAGCATATGTTTTTGTTTGTTTTTTTGCATTGTTTATGGTTTACTTCTATGTCTACCTTTTTTCTTTCTGGATCCCAATTTACAACTGGTTTTGAAAATGAATAAAAACCTCCCACCCCCCAACCCCTTGAGTTACTTACCAGAGGCAGTGACATGTCCCACGTCGCTGCTACTTCCTCTGCCGCCGCTCCTCCCTGTGGTTGCGTCGGCCGGTGGGCGAGACTGATCCCGCCCACCGGCCGGGAAGACCTAATGCGCATGCGCATTAGCGCTCCAAATAGGAAAGCATTGAAAAAATACTTTTCAATGCTTTCCTATGGGGAAATGAGCGACGCTGGAGGTCCTCACACAGTGTGAGGACGTCCAGCGACGCTCTAGCACAGGTTTTCTGTGCTGTGGACAAGGAAGTGCCCTCTAGTGGCTGTCTAGCAGACAGCCACTAGAGGTGGAGTTAACCCTGCAATGTAATTATTGCAGTTTATAAAAAACTGCAATAATTACAGTTGCAGGATTAAGAGTAGTGGGAGTTGGCACCCAGACCACTCCAATGGGCAGAAGTGGTCTGGGTGCCTGGAGTGTCCCTTTAATAAAAAAATATATGTAAGGATTTAACTCATGTATGCATCTCCAGCAAATATCTCCCCTACATATAAAATTATGGTATTATTAATGTAACATAACAAAACACAACACAATTTGTTCCCTATGGACAAACAGAGAAACTGGACAATTATAAAGTGTTCTTTTCTCCCTTCTCGTATAATTAAAAGAAATGGGTCAGCAAGTATTAATTAGGCTACAAGGAATTAGAAATACCCAGTGTTAAAATATGGAAAATAAGTTTTATATCCACTATGAATGAACAATTGGATTCATGTAATGAATGCAAACATTAAAAATCATATGAAAAACAAATTAAGAGAGAAATATAGTCAAATTAAGCATATAATAAAGGGGCTTCTGTAAAGCATAATCTGAAATATTCAATTATGTTTGAACATGTATATCACTTTCTACAATAAAACTTGCAGGCGGTAGTTTCTTATAGAATTTAACGCATAGAATTTATAGTATTTATAGAATTTACCGCCTTTGCAATAAATTATTACCTTGATTTCTAATATTTTTTTTTATGAAAAAACACGCTATTGCGTTCCTAGCTCTGCTCCAAATGGGAAGACCTCGCTCTGGGTTTGCAGAAATTCTTTATGTGTGAAGAGTGTGTCCTCTTTTTTCATTTTACAGAAAGTGTGGATTTCGATAGAAATTAACCTTGTTACGGCCCCCTGGATGTCACTCAAACATGTCCTGTTACTTCCTGGTTTGGTTAGCCCAGTGGAGCTAAACTCACGAGGCAGCAATTACTCCGAGTACCTGCCTTGCAAATGCCTCTCAATGAGATAAAAAATCTGCATCTTTTGCAAGTTGATTTTAGATATACCCCTAATGAAAAAAATGCATTGTTAAATGGATCCTTGATTTCATTGGCTTTAAGATCATCTCTGACGTTAGAAATGGTGTAAACAGTAGACAGAGTCCTGTTACTGTGTCAGTGAGAAGGAGCTTGGACGAGTGAGTGCATGGATGATCTGCTGACAGTAAAGTGGTCTTTATATCCTTTATTTTACTAGCTGGCTGTTTTTACTAGCTGGCTCTTTTACTAGCCGGTGTTTTTACTAGCCGGCTCTTTTACTAGCTGGCTGTTTTACTAGCTGGCTGTTTTACTAGCTGGCTGTTTGTATTAGCTGGCTGTTTGTACTAGCTGGCTGTTTGTATTAGCTGGCTGTTTGTACCAGCTGGCTGTTTGTACCAGCTGGCTGTTTGTATTTACTATCTGGTGTTTTTACCAGCTGGCTGTTTGTACTAGCTGGTGTTTCTACTAGCTGGTAAATAAATCTGTAGCCAATTATTGGTCTGACTGTTCTACTGGGCAGCTATGACTGGGTTTGTGTGTTAAATTGATTAACTAAAGTTAAGGTCCTATAAGGAAATTGCTAGCAGCAAAATAAGAGCAAGGGGGGAAAATCACATCAACAAGAGATGAATTAAAACTACCCCAAATACTCTCAGTCAAAATAAAATAAAAATCTATTTTTTTCTGGATCAATGACGATAGAGGCAGTTTTGATCACACTATGTCCTCAGATGCAGACTTTGAGGAGCCATGTGCTTGCTCTGATTAACACACATCTAAATACATTGCTTAATCCTGGCCCCTGTATAGCACTCCTTAATAGCAAGGGCAGACAGTGCTCTCTCTCCAAAGCTGCATTCCAGCTCATACATATGACCAGCATTGCAGTTTGCTTGCGTTCCATATGGAACAGTTTACTTATAGCAATTCGAGTTTACCCATATATAACTACGCTGTTAAACTGAACCTGAGCTTTACAAAATAAAAATCACACAGGAGAGCACAACCCTATTAAATTAAAACTGCATAAAATATAAATATTTTGGTCAAGTAGCTATACACAAAATAAAGTTCCTTAAAATCTTTACATAGATAATATTTGCAAAATGAGTGTCAGCGCTATGTTTGATAACTTTTAAAGGACCACTCTAGGCACCCAGACCACTTCAGCTTAATGAAGTGGTCTGGGTGCCAGGTCCAGCTAGGGTTAACCCATTGTTTTATAAACATAGCAGTTTCAGAGAAACTGCTATGTTCATCAATGGGTTAAGCCTTCCCCCAAATTCTCTAGTGGCTGTCTCAGTGACAGCCGCTAGAGGCGCTTGCGTGATTCTCACTGTGAAAATCACAGTGAGAGCACGCAAGCGTCCATAGGAAAGCACTGATAATGCTTTCCTATGCGACCGGCTGAATGCGCGCAGCTCTTGCCGCGCGTGCGCATTCAGCCGACGGGTCGGAACGGAGGAAGATCGGAGGAGGAGAGCTCCCCACCCAGCGCTGGGAAAAAGGTAAGTTTTACCCCTTTTCCCCTTTCCAGAGCCGGGTGGGAGGGGGTCCCTGAGGGTGGGGGCACCCTCAGGGCACTATAGTGCCAGGAAAACGAGTATGTTTTCCTGGCACTATAGTGGTCCTTTAACTAGGCGATCAATATAAATATAAGACAATATAAGACAATATGTAACACACTGCTTAGTGTACATGAATACAAAATATCTAAACCACCGATGAATAATAACAATGATAATAGAAAATAAGGACAGAAGAATGATGCATGAAAATAGGGACTTTTCTTTCTAAATAAATTATAAATGGGGGTATATGTGCCATTGGTCAAGAGACAAATTGTCCTAAAATGAAAAATACAAAATGACAATAACAAAAATAAATAGGATATAGCAAACATAACTTTAACTAAATTGAAACCGAACATATTTTTCATGCTTGGTCTATTTTACATATGTTTTTATTTTAGAATGGAACTGAACGTATGAAAGAGGAATGGTGCAGGTTAAAGGGAAACTGGTAAAATTACATTTATGTCGAAGACTTTACAGCTTGCTGCTTCCCTTTATTTAATGTTTACAACAGCACAACCACAACCAAAACCCCTAACCTGACCATTTTTCAATCTGTCAAAATCTAACAGTCTGGAAACACTTCTTAATTGATCTATTAACACAAGTATTCATTCCACATATCAACACCTGAATATGAGACCAGTGAATTCAGAGAGCATCCTATCAGCTGGGTCTGGTGTCAATGTGAGATATTATAGAGTGTGAATCTGTAGTCCAATGGGGTTTATCTTTCCCTATATTATAAAATGTTGGCACTGCTAAGATAATTTCACATACTTGCATTATATATTAATGCTGTATAATGTAAGATAATATAGCCCACATGCAGAACTCACACTGAAATCCATCGTAAGTTGATTTGTGCAAATCAATCAAAAATGCTAAATACTTTTTTTCTATTCCAAACCTTTTAAATCATATTTCAGGCTAACATTAATTAAGCAAGATCATGTTCTATATTAAAGGGGCACTATAGTCACCAGTGCAACTACATGTATTCCTGACCCTATAGTGTTAACACGACCATCTAGCCCCTCTGGGCCCCTCATGCCTCCATAAATATAGTAAAAGTCTTACTGTATTCAAGACAGAAGCTGTAAATCTGCATGCTGTTAGACTCAGGAAAAACAAGCAGTCTGCTAAAATGTGATAGCCTGATCCAATCACAGTGCTTCCCCATAGGATTGGCTGAGACTGACAAGGAAGCAGATCAGGGGCAGAGCCAGCATGATTCAAACACAGCCCTGGCCAATCAGCATCTCCTCATAGAGAGGAATTGAATCAATGAATCTATGAGGAAAGTTCAGTGTCTGCATGCAGTGGGAGGAGATACTGAATCACAGGATGCTGTGCACAGTGCTGCCCTGTGCTCTGCTGACAGCAGATCTGAGTGGATGGAGGCATTTTATGCCTCCATCAACTCAGAAGTCCCTTTGGTTCACTCTGAGTGACTGCAACTGGAGGTGTTCCTAGCTTTCAATGTAAACACTGTATTTTCTCAGCTATAGTTCTCACCTGAACCACCTCATTAAGTTGAAGTTCCCTTTAATGGAAATATTTAAGCCGTACTAAAATGCTATAAAATAGTCAAACAATAACAATTAAAATATGTTTTTCAATAGTGCATAAAATCATCTATCTCAAACAAAATACGGGCATTTGGTTTCACATGATGGCCATACTCCCACTACTACATACACTACATACACTAAACCAGGGGTCAGCAACCTATTGGACGTGTGCCAAGCATGGATCTTGACGGGCCTTTGGATGGCACTCAAGACAAACACGAACTTCAGATATCTGGTAGTGCAAACCCAGTGGTAATTGCCAGTGGTGAGGGGCAATCCTCAATTTACACTTTGCCCCGCACTTGTGGAGTAGAGCATCTCACAACAGCTATAGCAGCTCGGGCCCCTGACTTGTACTTGGCCAGCCCGGTCCCCACTGAACCCCAGGAAAGCCAACCACACTGTTAGATCTACACGGAGCTGCAGAAGAAGACCCTCCTCCGAATACAAATAAAATAGCCCACACACAAACACACACAGTCCCCACAAGCACATCATCACTGGCAATCGACATACATGCACACAACCCCATAAGCAGCCTCTCAGATGCAGTACCATAAGCAACCCTACATATACACACACCACCAAACACACAATGTGACATTTCATACACCGCCCACATTCAGGTATGATACACAATATCACAAACTGCTCATGAACTGATACAATATAACAGACAACAAGTGAACAAATACAATGCTACAAAGCAACTGCAGCAGCCATAAATAACACAAGCACAATACAGCAACATACACACCTCAATTTAAAAAATAGAGCAAAGCCAAGTGACTTCGAGATCTTGTTTTGGCACAGTACTACTAAATGGTTGCCTACACTTGTGCTGAACTATATGCCTACACTACAGGCTTGTTCTTTGTATCCTGCTTAAAATAGTGTAAATGAATGGCAGGCTAATGCAGATTCTATTTATTTATTCTCTGTTTTATTTCACTTTTTAAACACAGATCCGGGTCCTTTCAGGTTTTGGAAGGAAAGGGTTAATTTTACCAGGAAAGGGAATGGTCAAAATTTCTGGCATGTGCATGATGGACTGAGAACCCTGCTATTATTTAGCCCCTCTGGGACTTTTATAATTGTGATCTGCAGCAAACTATATTAAAGTTATTTTGTCCAAATACTATGGTCATTTACTGGGATACTATATTGTTCTTTCTTTCTTTCTTTCTTTCTTTCTCTCTCTCTCTTGCGCTCTCTCTCTCTCTCTCCCTCTCTTACTTTCACACTTCCTCTCTTTCTTTAAATATCTCTCTTATTTTAATTCTCATCTATTCTGTGTGTTACCTGATTTTTTTTTCTTCTTTTAGCAGATTTTTTTATGTTAGAAAGTAAATTTCTCACCATCTCGCAATGTTTCTATCGCAACTCTGAAAAACAGCCTGTTTTTAGGGTATTCAACCTCTCCACCGCCTGCATAAGCAACGGCATACCCTGAGGTGCACACTAAGAGGCATTCTATCCTGTTCCTACATACCGCCAAAGCGAAATGGCAAAAGCGGCGGTCTGGGGCCTACAGACCACCCACAGGCCTAGAACTGTCTGCACTACTTGACGGCCTAGAGCCCTTCGAGGACTCAGATACGGAGGCTTTCCCGTTTGCTCCTCTACCTGATTGGACACCGACGTTGGGGCGACGGACACAGAAGCTGAACCAGGAGCTACCCTCGGGGACCAGAGACATCGGGTCCATGCTTCAGTGGCAGCCACAAACCAAAATGGTGGCGACGGTGGGACTCAAGACCATGCCGGCTGGTACAGGTATAACGCAGTCACCAGGTACCTCACCCTGCAGTGGTTTGACTTTCGCAATCTGGTCACAGAGATTGAGGGCCTATTAGCAGCTGATGTGGCAGTAATAAAAGATGATTTACAATCTGTAACGGACAGAGTAACAGCATCGGAGAGTAACATCACAGACCTTAAGATGGGCCTGTCATCCCTAACGGACGCTGTTTTAACCCTACAAGCTAATCAACAAGCCCTTTCACTCCATTACGCAGCTCTTGATCACAGGTCACGGTGCAACCACCTGAATATAAGGGGTATACCTGATCCAATCACGCCTGATGAGCTCCCTCACTATTTGCGGAGACTAGTGGCTTCAGTGCTTCCACTAAGTCAGGCAAAGAAGTTCTCCCTGGATGGAATCTATCGACTGCCGATCTCAGGCAGAGCTCAGGCGACAGTGGCAGAAGACGTCATAGTCCGCTGTTGCACCTCGTAGGACAAACGATCCTTGCTGACAGCACTAACAGGGCAAGACGCCACTAACATTTGAGGGCTCTACACTCTCCTTCTACCAAGATCTTACAAGGTCCACTGAATCCTGTTACTAGCCAGCTTAGATCGGCAGGAGTGGAATATCACTGGAGATAACCCAGGTTCCTGGTGATGTCACACGAAGGGACTGTACACAAAATATCTATGCCTGCTGAAGCACCAATTTTTTTACAACATCTGGGCTTGACTTGTCCGAAGAATGACCCTGCACAACGAACCCGTTTACAGGCAAGAGACCCAAAGAGAGCTGTCCCCTCCACTTCTGTGGTACTCCCAACCTCCTCACCAGGGACATGAATACACAGAGGATGCTGTTGCTAAGTTGCAGTTCAAACTTTTATGTTTAGTTTAACTATTTTCCCTATTCAGTTTTATTATCTACAAGTTTGACTACTGTTTGGCCATGATACAGTACATGTGTCCAGCCTAGTTCAGCTACTAAACTGGAGCCTAATCGCTCGTAGATAGATGCTCCGGCTCTCAAATGATAGGGTACTCAACCATACACTATGGGGAGTGCTCCCTCACCAATAACCTCACATCCTCCACCTCCCCACTGCCTCCTTGGTTAGGGGTATACTTAGGAGACAGCCAGACCGTGCACTACCAACTTGGTTGCACTTTTGTGCTCTTAACCCCTTAAGGACCAAACTTCTGGAATAAAAGGGAGTCGTGACATGTCACACACGTCATGTGTCCTTAAGGGGTTAAGCAGTGTTGCAGATCTCCCTAAGCTATTGTACCATCATGTAACAATGTCAATTTTTGGTTGTTTCATTCTTGACCCGTTTGTCATTTTAGGAGATAAATTGTCTCCTGTAACAAATTTTATATGCACCATGTCCCTTCTTTATTTCTGTACCCAACCATGCAGATATAACAAAAAGAAAATTTCAATAAAAATGGATTGTCAAAAAAAAAAAAAAAGAAAAGAGAGTACATTTCTCTCATTGAACCTTGCGTTTCAATGATCTGTTAAATTATAACCGGATTGAAAGCTTTTCTACCCTTCCATGGCTGTCCGTAATGAAACATATTGTCACAGATTTCCTCACTTTGCTGTATACTGACTCCCCTATAGAAAACAATTCCCACATCCACACATTCCATAGGGCTATGGCGTACGGAGGGACAGTAATTTCACAGATTAACGGAGTCCTAAGCAGCAGGACAATGAAACTGTTAAATCAGTCAAGCCTCTTGGACTCTGGAGAGAGTGAGAGAGATTGAATTAGTCGTCCTATTTGCGCCATACAAATAATGTCACTGCTATGAAAACCTGCGAAGCAAATCGGGATTAGCAGCTTTGATTATCAGTTTGCTAAATGTGATACAATGATGAAGCTGCCATGA